CAACCATGAAGGTTTGGAAACCAGCCACCATCTCACACCAGGAGAAGAAAGTCCTCCAGACAGATGGGTGACAAAATCACCAGGGTCCTCTGGGGTGTCTCCTCTACCAGTAATTGCAATGGACTGGCCAGATTGTCAGGAGACCGGAGAAGTAATGTCCATTTCCAAAAAAGTTAGTTTCGCTCAACTAGTAGCATCAAACTACTTCCAGAAAAGATGTCCCCAGAACTAGGACGAGAGACGGGGCTGGATCCCAGCGCCTGCCTGACGTAAGGGACCCTTTGTGGGGACCACTTGTTCCCTTTCCCAGACAACAAGTGCTGCCTTCACTGGCAGCTCCAGAAGACAGAGCTCTCCCCGCCTGCACGGGCCAGGAGACAGGCACCAAGCAGAACATCCTTCTCATCTCAGACGGCACCACTGTCTCTCTGGACTCAAAGCTACGAAGGGAAGCAGACCTCAGCCACAGCTACTGGCAGAAGGGAAGAGGAACGAGCCAGGGGGAAGGGCATGCTGTTGCTAACAGCCCTCAGAAAGGCAGCCGGTTAAGGGGAATGAAATGCTCCCTGAGATGCCGTAACTACCTGGAAGGGACGGAGCAACGCTGCCACCACACACGGCCAGCAGCCGCAGGCAACACCTCAGCACCCAAAACCAGGCCCTGCAAGGACAGAGCGGCGTACAGGCTCCCAGGGGCTCCTCCTGGCCCAGCACTCAAGATGCAAATGCCAGTCCTGCTGCTCCCACAAGTGGTACTGAGAAGAAGAAGAGATCCTTCCGTCCCAGTGCGTGTGTCTTGCCTGCGTACACCAACACCTAGCTGCGGTACAAGGCAAACAAAAACTCCTAACTGTATTCTTTGTCTGGGTTCTTTCCATCTCATCTCCATGTTAAATCCTGTGTTCCCAAACCCTTCCTTGAGATCCTTTTCCCTGTGCCAGTTCCTGCTCTCTTAACTTGTGTAGGCAAGTAAGAAACCTTGGCAAGAGCCCCATACCCTCAGGTAGGAAAAGACAGAACACAGCCACTACTCTGCAAAGGCCTTGTCACTCTCTTTTTCGTCCTTCCTGACAGTGTACAGTCTGGCCACCTCCTCCCAGAGCTGACCCACAGGCTATCTCAGTGCCAGGAGTGCAGGACACCTCCCAGGAGCGAGGCCACCGTCACCGAGCCCCACGAGAGGCTCCAGCACTTCTGCAGCCCAGACCGGAGAGCAGTGCCCAGCAGGACTCTGGAGCTGTCTGCACCCAGCTCTCCTGCGTTAGGGACAGCTGCTCCAGCTCGTGCTGGAGATCATACCATTTGGTGCATCGCCACCATCGCAGTGCACTCCTGAGCAGCGATTCAGGGCTCTTTTGCACCCCTGCTGCGATACTGCCTGCAACAACTGTCACCGTGCTCACTATGGGATGTGTGTCCTCCCGCACGGGCAGCAAGCCCATGTGCATCAGAGTGCGTGAGCTGCTCTGCCCAGGTCCACGTTAGAAACCAGGGATCAGTGAACCTGTGTTTCTCAAAGCCAGTTGGATTTTCTCTGAGGAGAGCGGGAAGCAGTTCCAGAACCTCATTCCTGAGCCCAAGAGAGAACAGGGAAATACTTCACAGCATTTTACGATCACTCACCAGTTCCATTACTTCATGCTCTATTTTTAGGAGAAGTGGTTTCTGTAGTGGAGGAGATATGTGTAAACACCACGGCAAAGATTACTGCAGCAGGTCACCGGGAACCAAAAGGTTTTGTGGTTGAGCCACAGAAGACCCAGGGAACAGAAATTAACTTTGATCCTCACTGTGGCCTCCTGGTTTGCTGAGCGCAGGAGGGGTTTTGGGCCCCTCAATACAAGGAGGACATTGAGGTGCTGGAGCGTGTCAGAGAAGGGCAACGGAGCTGGGGAAGGGTCTGGAGCACAGGGCTGGTGGGGAGCGGCTGAGGGAGCTGGGGGTGTTCAGCCTGGAGAAGAGGAGGCTGAGGGGAGACCTTATCGCTCTCTACAACTGCATGAAAGGAGGGTGTAGTGAGGTGGGTGTTGGTCTCTTCTCCCAAGTAGTTAGCGATAGGACGAGAGGAAATGGGCTTAAGCTGCGCCAGGGGAGGTTTAGGTTGGAAATTAGGACAAATTTGTTTATGGAAAGGTTGGTCAGGCATTGGAACAGGCTGCCCAGAGAGGTGGTGGAGTCCCCATCCCTGGAAGTGTTCAAAAAACTGGCAGATGTGGCACTTGGGGACATGGTTTAGTCTAGTCTACCCTTGATTGGTTTAGTGTGGACTTGGTAGTGTAGGTTAATGGTTGGACTGGATGATCTTAAAGGTCTTTTCCAACCTAAACAATTCTATGATTCTATGACACAGGAGGGACAGGCAGAGAGAATGTACGGGGGAGGGAGGACAGAGGGCGGAAGCTCCAGAAGGACATGGCCTATCATTATTGCTGACATGGCTACAACCCAGGCAATCAATAGATATTTCTTGCTTAGAAAGGCCTCGTAGTCAGCTGCGATTTCCTGTTAGCTGCATGCTGTGTTACTTCCCTTCAACAGCTCTGGTTTCCCACCAGAACTACCTAGGTCCCTGCGGCAAAGCCCCAGAAGCACAGCAAGGTGCTGAAAGTAAAGGTCCTGCCTCGGAGCCAAGGAGCCAGCGTTCACCTCCACAGACATCATCTGCAAACTGGGCTGAAAGGTACTCTGCAGGAAGGAAAGTAGGGACGTTTCTGAGCAAAAACCTCTAACAAAGCTCATGACACACAGTTAGAAACCTCTTCTGATGCCCAAACTTCGCTTCCCCACAGCCAGTCTTAGATCCACCCCTTTTGTTCTGGCACCATCTTCTCTTAAAAAGTTCTTTCCTTTCACAGCTTTGTATTTTAGAGCTCAGGGTTGGTCATTTCAGCCTTCACTTTCCTAAGCTAAACAAGCCAAGTGCTTAACTTCCTCTTGTGTCAGGGTCTCTCTTCCCTCCCACTCACTTTCTGCTGTTCCTACACCAGTTTCAAGGCATACTTACTCGAGTGACTGGAATCAGACTGAGGAGTCTGGCATCCCCACACCCCTCACATGGGGAACACATTTTTATCCTCGCTACAAACACGCTGCCCAGCACAGCAAGTGCCATTAGTACATATTTGTTAGGACTTTTCTCATACTTTGGACACTGAAGAAAATATTAAACAAGTGTTCCGCTCCTCCCTAAGGAACGCTGCCCTTGGCCATCTTCCACCCCGCTCCCCCTTTCAGTACACACTGCCTCTCCTTCCCAACCAGTCTTTGACTGTTTACAATTTGTCTGCTAACAAAATCCTCAAATTACCAAAACCACTCAAATCTGCATTTTCCCTGGACTTTGCTCTCCACCTTGAATGCCTCCTATTAAACTTCTCAAAAAGCAGCCATATCGAGACATACTGCAGGGCATGCTATGGCTGTGTACATTTTGCAAGCAGCTGTGCTCACTCTGCTTGCATCCCAAGCTCGCTGGACACAAACAAGCTCCGATCAGAAAGCTATGTAGCTTCATCAGGGAGCTCTAGCTGCCTATTCGCTTGCACACAGAGACTTCATCTGAACTTGCTCGTGTCCAGGTGACCTGGAGCACCAGGCAGCCAGCACAGGTCTCTGCCAAAATCTGTACACACCTACTCATAACCCCACTTTAGAAGCCTATACAGTCGGGTATAAACTTCACGTGGGTATTTAAAAATTATGTAAGGGTCCAAGCAGTGGCTGCAGACTGTACTCAGGCTTGTAGAGGAACAATCTCCCCCGTGGTGCTGTACCAGAAGTCCTCCCAGGACTGAGAGGCTCAGCTACACCCTAAGATTCAAAGCCAATCCCCTTATGAAAAAAGTGTCAGTCTGGTGGAATTTGTTTTGTTAAACTTGCTTTGCATTTTCTTCAGTTTTACATGCTCTTCTGAGTTCTTAGCCACTCTTTTCCGCAAAAAAACATTTCAAGCACTGCTCACTGCTGAGGCAACTGAGAGGCTCACAGCTGCTCTGGCTACGTCATCTCCCCTCTTTCATGAACCCAGCTGCTACACTTGCTGTTCCTCAGTCTGACAGCACCAAGCCAGACAGACAGATTTCCTGAAGTCCTTGCTACAGATCCTGTGATTTCATGTGCTAGGTGCTTCAGAGCTGGAATCTGTTGGCTTGAGTGCCCCCCAGGAGGAGCAGAGCCCAGTACCTCACCTGCCTTATCAGAGAGCCAGCTCAGCATTTGTGTGGGTGCTAGAAACTGCAGCAAAGCCCTAATGCAATCAGGTGGCTGCCCGAAGGATCTCCTTCACTCGCCACTCGCTGTGCCAGCCTGCTTTGGTTTCTGACCTGCCCCTCCTGCGTCAGTTCTGCTTCTCCAGAGTCACAGAACAAACACCTCTGGCTTCGCAATCCTCCCGGCACAGAGACCTTGGCAGTCCCTGCCAAGCTAACACTGTGCCAGAAGAACAGCACAGAGCCCTTCCTCTGGCAGAAGAGAGGAGAACCTCCTCCTCCTCTGTGCTGCTCCTTCAGTTCGCCACTGAATTCGCCCCTCCACATCCCCTAAGAAGCCCACCTGTATATGCATGGAAGGTCATCGGCTTCCCGCTTCCAGGGGGAACAGGACTGTGGGCAGCTGTGTCCACCCAGGCTTGCCTGCCTGGCCAGGGCAGCCAGGCTGAGGCCCCTTCCACAGACCTCCTGCTCTGCCCAGGACTTCCCTGCACACCGCTCACGGCTCAGCCGCCAGTGCCTGCAGAAGCGCACCACAATCTTTGGAGACCGTGAGCCAGACCCAATGGTTTAGACACGCAGCTTGACCTCAGGGCAAGCATCAAGCTGTTCTGGGCCATGGACAGAAGCTCCAGGGTGACAGCTACTCTGCTCTTTCCAAAAGCTACTCCAGGGCTGTAGTGCAAGCCTAAAGCTAGGCTAAACGCGCTGTGTAGTGAGTGACCTGAGGGAGTGTGGAGAAGCATGGGGGTCCCTGGGGGGGCCCTGCCTTCCCCTGTTCCCGTTTCCCACCTGGTTGATGTGAACAGAAGGAATGGAGGCCGCAGACACAGATGAATGGCTGGGTGAATTGGGCAGGGACTTGCAGGGACCGATGGAAAGCTGCTGTTTCTTCCGTAGAGCCACCACCTTCTGAGCCACTGGAAGAAGGGAGAAAAGGACAGGGTCAGAGTCCGGAAAGAAACCTTCTCCACCTACACATTTCTGGAGGGCTTCAGTGAGACCCAAACCCTTCACCTGACTGATGCCAACGTCTGGGGCTCAGACTGCAACCACCCTGTATTAACAGGGAGGATTTCTGCAGAACACCCAACCTCGCAATCCCCATTGCCTGCTGCTGCCATGCAACCCAGCTGCAAGGGACAGCGTTTGCCCGTGGCTGTTCCAGCAGGCAGCAGGGCAGGCTTCCCATGCTGGTCACACTGAGTCCCCGAAGGCCACCCGGTCTCTTGGGTCTCACACCAAGCAGTGACTTGATGTGACACCAAGGAGCCACCCAGAGCCCTGGGCTGCCGCAGAAGAATCCCTGGACAGCCAGAGTCAGTCACCCCTTCACAGCAGCTACAGGAGCCAGTTACCAAACTGAATAGCCTGGGCAATGCCACCTCCATCAGCCTGGGACCTTGTGACCCACAGGGTCTCCAGATGTTCCAAAAACTAACACGAGTAACAACTCTCCCAGTTCCTGTGACCTCACTGCCTGATGCCAACAGCCCAAAATTGCATTTCAACCTTCCCAATCTCCTACCTTTTCTGGAAATAAAAGTCTTGAGCAAAGAGCACGACAGCAAACAAGCTGGGCTGTTGGGGAATTCAGAACACATCGCCATTCCTTGTTGTCTCTTGCACACTGGCCGGGTACCCCCACCATCAGAGAAGGAGCAACCTTTCGGATGAACACGACTGAATGCATTGGGAACACCACACATGCAACCCAGCATGCCTCATATCGTGCACCCTTGCAATAAAGGAGCTGCCACATTCTCTTTCCAGGAAGATAGAAGACCCCGCACCATACATGTGGTGTGACTGAACCCATTTGGAAAAGTCAGATGCTGACAGCAACTGCAAAATCCTGCCACCTCACAGCTGCAGGGCCACAGCCTGTACAGAGACAGGTGAAGGCCTACTGGGCCACCGCTGCTGCCTGATTGTCTGATAAAGCTGGGCTTTATTGTCTGATAAAGTCTGTCCAGACTCCCAAGCTAAATATTCGCCCCATCAAGAGCAGGAGCCCCTCCTACACCCACCAAACAGACCATATTAACCTGCTTTTTTCCTGCTGTCCTCCCCTCCATCCTCTCCTCTGGCCAGATTTATCCACTGTTCACTGCGTAAACCATCTCTCCTGCAAACACTGGCCAGGCACATTGCGAGCTCAGGCACCCCAGCTCTGCAGCACCCCTGAACCCCAAGTGCTGGCTGCCTGGGAGAGGCAATACGAGGGACTGGCAATGCTAGAGGGATGGGACATGTCCTCTGCTGACCTCCCAGGAACCCGCAGGCTCTGGTACACAATGGCTTTAGCCTAGGCAGGTCAAAACACAGCCCAGATGACACACTGCTTCTCCACAGAGAAGACAGCCTGGGAGGAGACATGGAAATTGGGCAGGTCTGGCACAGGGGAAATTCAAACACTTGCATCAGAGGAGTCGTTGAGGAAGGAACAACTCAGAAATTACCCAGCAGAGAATAAGACAGGTAAGACCTATTCTACCCTGCAAGCCTGCGGGGATCATTCTTTGTGCTGCCAAAGTGATAATGAAAACTACTCGGCCAGACCCCAGACCAGACAGCTTCCCCAGCTCTGTGGAAGTACCGATTTCAGGAGAGCAGTGCCCGTGTACAGCAGCTGACAGCCTTCCCCAGCGGGACCAGCCACATCCCCACAGACCCAGAAGGCGAGTTCATCAGCGCAAAGCAAAATTCCCACGACAGGACAAACGGTACCTAGGAAGCGTTTTCAGGGATGCCACGACAGGCAGAAAGCCACTTCACACAACGTCATCCGAGCACCCACAGCAGAAGCCAGACAGTTCCAGAAACCTTACGCAGAGTGGAGTCCAAACTACATCGGACGTGGCAGGAGAAGGGAAGTCCTGCACGGCCACAGAGAAAGCCTTTTCACCTTCCAGGGCAGAGGACTTTATGCCATTCAGTACAGCTTCCCAGAGCTTCACTGGAGAAGGCAGATTCAAGGCAGGAGGTTTCTCGATATCCAGAATACAAGTAGGTCCAATTTTAGAGGAAGAGGCAAGGTGAGAATGGTCTCTTGAAACAGGGAGGTTGAGAAGACCACCAGTGGGAAAAAGAGAGGAGGCCAGAAAAGATTCAGAAAAACTCATCAGCAATTGCTGTCCTGGGCAAAGAGCCTGGCAAAGGCTCTGCCTTGTCAGTCACACATTAGTGGTAACAAAGGAATTAATCATGAGGCCAGCAAGACCACACTGGTGGTGATAAAATCTCACCAACCCTTAACTGAAGCATCTTGAGGCGGCCTTCACATTTCTGCTTGCCAGGCAGAGAGAGGTTCCTCCACACTCTTCCACATCAGCCAGACTTTTTCAAGGATAATTTCTATCATCTTCTAAGCCAGCACCTGGGATCACTTGCTTATCATAATTTCTTTGGTTGCTACAGGCAGCTCTGTGACGTATAACCAATGAGCCCTGCCCTGGCCACAGAACCTCTGCCCAGATACATTGCTTGGCATTTGTTTGCCAAATGTCACATACAGTGCTCCTGTGCATATTAGCACTTGAGCATCACATGGTATTTTAAAGCATACCACAGCACTCTGTCCTAGATGTTCTGGAGAAATCCCTCTACAGACACCACCAAGAATGGTCAGCTCTGGGAGGAGTACCTGGACAGAGAGGAGGTGCATGTGAAGGTCCCCAGTGACACACCAAGGACCCTACAGAAAACACCTCGGGGTGGGGCAGCACCTTATGGAGTCATGGGGCCTTGCACACTCCCCTGTGTACAAACTCTTGGCCTCTCCGTTGAAATTCTCCTGCCAAACTGTTCCTCAGAAGCATCACTCAACTGCCCTGGAGGACATAGCGATGCTGTCCATTACCATGACGGCCAGGAACAAACTAACTCCTGTGCCCTTCCAGGATTGGGCATGGGTCACTCTTCCTCTTCAGGAACAACACCGAGACAATCCCTAGAAACATTCCAGGTCAGGTTGGACGGGGCTCTGAGCACCCTGGTCTGGTTAAAGCTGTCCCTGCTCACTGCAGGGGGATTGGGCTGGATGAGCTCTAAAGGTACCTTCCAACCCAAACCATTCTATGATTCTCTGATAATCACTGCCAAGGGGCTCTCAACAATTTGCTCTCTAACCATTGCTTGGTACAGCAATATTCTTAAGATGAAGAAGCCCTAGAGCTGAGGCAGCCCCACACCTGATGGCTTCCTGCTACTGTCCTGGCATCCTCTAAACTCTAGGAGATTCCTGCATACAGGAGCTCTGCGGAGGCAATTTTGAGAAGAAAGCTCTTTAACCGTATCTCTCCAGAGCCAAGAGGTCAGAAGGCATGTTCAGTACCAGCCTCTCACCTCCCCACCTCACCTCCCACTCTCACCTCTGCTGTGAGTGAAGGGACCACCCCAACCCGCCCCTCAGGGCGGGCTCACCCTTGGTGAAGTTCTGAAACTGCAGCTGGTGCCTGCCGGGCACTGGACGCTGCAGCAAACAGCCCAGCCCGTGTCACTCTTCCTGCTTGTGCCAGGGTCATCTCCTCGCAGTATTTGAAGCCACAGGCAGACTGTCCCATCTTTTCCCAGAAGCAGTAACTGTGGTAACATCTTGTGCTGGCAGCAACTTGGAAAGGATGAGAGAAGTGCAGTTCCCACACAGCAAACAGCGTTTCCAGGGGAATTTTTGCCAGACCACACATAAGAAACCAGCAAGGAGAAAGCTACCCCTTTTCTGCATGCCGCGCATCCTTTTCACAGTGACCTTCAGAAGCCTGACTGCCCGGACAAAGCCTTCACCGCTCCAAAATATTCAACACAATTACAGTGGCACACATCGTAACGTGCGTGGTCTAGATCCCTGCACAACACAACCACAAACTTGGCTTCAGACCAAACACCCAGGAACTGCCCTAGGCACGGAGGAAGGATCTCTGCTGCACCTGCCTGAGCAGGAAGGAGGGCACCACAACAGCTGGAGCCACCCAATTCTTGGAGAACCTCCGAACAGTCGGTGAATGTGAAGATCCAAGGTTCTCCTTCTTGGAGCTTCCCCCATGCAGGCCATGGGGCAGAGACAGCAGCTGGGGAAGGCAGAGTGCTAGCCTCGGCCTTCAGCTGAATACCGAGAGGTAGGATGGCTGCTCCCTCAAGCTGTCATGCTAGACCAGCACGATATCGACTTGCTGTCCAAAGAGGTCAGCGATTGCTTGTTGTTAGCCAAGACAGTGGCATGGAAGGGCTCTCGGGGAACAGAGGCGCAGCATACGCTCTGCACAAGCACGGACAAGCAAGCAAACCTTTGCAGTGAAAGCAAAGAGCACTGCTTAGAGAAGTCTTCCTGTGTCTGCTGTGGAAAATCGACATCTTCCCCTGCCTGCATGGGGCAGGTCTACCACAATCTGGGCTGAGCAATTTGTGTTGGAGAAACCATATAAAGGTGAGGTCTGGCTGGTCACTGGATCGCCATGTGGGGCAAGCTCCTCACACAATCCACGACTTCCAGCACTCCACCAGATCCCAAAACAGCTGCATCAGGACCCACCAGCGCTCATAAGGAAAAGTCGCTTACCCACTCTGAAAACACCTCATCCTGTCAAGTCGGCTTCATCTGAAACTTGATCCTGGAAGTCCCTGAATAGTTCTCAGATGCGCTGAACTGATTTAGCAGATCCTCCCCTTCCAGGTCTGCTGCAGTATTCACTATCCTCAACTATTCCCAGCTCTTCCTTCCCACCACTCCTCCATTACTCATGAGGAGGAGGAAGGGGAGACTTACAAGCAACCTGCCCGACAGGGTCACCCCAGATTCCCCAGGAATACCAAACCAACGCAGAGGCTGCTGGACGCTGAGGGGCTCCCTGCCAGGGGCCAGGCGGAACAGTTTGAAAGGTCGCTCTCTGGGCGGACCTCTCAGACCATCTCAGAGGTGGACCAGCAGCAGGAGAGGGGAACGTCTCTACATGCTTCTGCGTAAGAAAAGCAGCACGGTGAGTGTGATCCTCAGCCCTGCAACAGGAGACTCCTGGAAGGTCACAGACTTATGTAGGGGAAGGAGGATCACCAGCTCCAGCTCGGAGGATGAAGGAGGCACTTGAAGCCGATGACAGGCTCAGTCCTGTGCCTTGCCCTCAGCCTATCTTGCTGTGCTGCAATGAACCAAGCTGGATTTTTGCCTTCAGGCAGTCCTGTTGCACTATTATTTCCAAACTTTCTTCCATGCGCCTGTTCCACTTGCAAACGCTAACAGCACAGCTCTCCTTTCCCAAAGCAACTCTGTCCTGCCCAGCCACTCAGCTCTGCACAGACCCTTCCTCACACACTGAACACAGATCCCCAGCTGCACTCCAGAAGACAAGGTAGAGAAAGGGGAGGGGAGAATATGCAGTCCCATTACAGGGCAGGGTCCCAGTTTATTTAAGCAGACTGCAAACTCCTAGGACACGGTGTAGGTGCCCTCTTCCACCTACAGCATCCCTGTCACACAGACTGCTCTCCAAGTCTAAGCAGAAATACTCTGCTACACACTGTTCTCATGAGGAACAGCTGCCCCATCTGGCTGTTCAGTTGCTGTTCCCCTGTCTCTAACACCCAAAGGTTCTGCTGTGCTTCCTCCTCTCCTCCATGAAAGGCAATCAAAACCCTCTCTGCAGCCTCACAAGTCCTCTGCAGGCTCATATAGACTGCTGTGCTGCACAGGCCCAGCACGGGGATGCAACCGTCCCCTGCAGCCTCTCTGCTCTCTGGAACACGTGGCTACCCAGAGGACAGCCCCTGCAAGAAGGGTGCTGCCCAGCCCTGCTCTGCGATCCCTCGTCCACATCCATGTGCCGTTCACCTACGTGCCACGCACACGGGAATCCTTCCACGCACACAGCATGCCCTACTCCTTGGACCCGGTCTGCATGCGTAGAGCGATGGCACTGCACACGAACGTCTGCCTAACTCCCTTGGTCTCAGGGCAGCACACCGTTCTAACTGAGAGCTGCCGGTCTGGGTAGCATAAGCCCCCTCTCCGGGACAGCACTGCTGCCCTGTCTCTCCCGGACACCCTCCACCAGCTGCAGTTACCATCCTGGAAGACTCTCTCCACGTTCAGGCCGTAGGTGGCACAGGTCTCGTAGTATGTGCAGCGCTTCAAATCATTGGAAAGCTTCCGTGCCCGAGAATCGTCAATGACCCGGGGGTTTGTAGCACTGATGGCATCTGGAAACCAAAGGGAGAGGAGGTTAAAAAGCAAGCGCCTGTGTCCCATCTATCCACAGGTCCCACGGCACAGTCCTGACCTCCCTCCCTCCCTTCACACACTGAGATACCAACCTTCATAGTACACCCCCTGCCCTATAAATGCCTTAGATTACAGTCCTGTGTTTGTAGAAAAATGGATTTGTTAAATGAACCATTTTTTAAATTAACCTTATTCAACTCTCCTAACCATCCAGCCACTGATGTTTCTGAAGACAGAGGGCAGAAACCAGTGGGAGGTGTGGCTGGCAAGGCAAGGCAGCCTGGATGTTAGGAATGGGACACACCACCACAACTGCATGCAACCATGTTGGGAACAGTGCAGTTGTTGAAGACAACAGGACACTCAGTGACAGCAGACAGAGCTCTGGCAGCAAAGGTGTAAACAGCCTGGCCCTGGGTCCAACTACAGCCTCATCTGCATGAGGATGCACGGTGTTTCCACGCGTTAGAATTTACCAGTGTTGCCTTCTGTCAACGTGTCACTGGTCATGGCTGCTGTAATGAGCGAGTGCACTCATCTGCAAGTCCGCCTAAGTTGCGGAGTAAAACGGATTTGCCGGTCTAGACCATTTTAGGTCTCACGGCCATATCCTACAGATTAAAGAATCAAAAGGGAGAAATCATTCTTAGTTAATCGGGAAAGACAGATCTGCTAGGATGTACTCACAGTTGAGGCCTTGGTGGATAACACTAAAAAATAGGCTTAATTTGTATCCCAGATGGCTGCTAAGTGCTCGCATGTTTTGGAAAAACTATCTTCCCAAGAGGAATCAGATTCCGTGAAGACATGCCAGGGACAAGCAGGGGCTGTCAGCGAACCCTCTCAGGAGGAGTCGAAGGAGCACTGGGACTTGCACTGCAAAGAAGTCCCCCTCGAACTCTCCAGGGGGTTGCTCAGTGTGACTGTGCCAAGGCTGTGACCTCAGCTGGCTCTAAGTCTGGGACAGCAGTGATCACCGGCCCCTCTGCCATGTCGCTCTTCCCTGCTCCTGAGCCTCCACAGCACGTGCCTGCAACCCCAGCCCGGTCCTGAACCAGGATCACTCAGTCCTGACATTAATTCCACAATCTTTAAATACCAGAAGTTTAACAACTTGTTCTATGCTTAATCTGGGGCCCAGAGCAGACACCCCTGAGACTCCCCTCCCGCTGTCACTGCTGGTCTTCCCAGCCTTGGAGTTTCTTCTTCACCAGAACGGGTTGCACTGCCCAGGAACTGGATCCTGCCAAGACCTTTTTCCCTCGCATCCTCTGTCCGCTGCTCCCGCTCTCTGCTGTCACCCTTACATCCAGACAACTTCTGCAGCCCCAGGCTCCCTCCTGCCTGTGCTTTACCATCTACAGGTAGGAAGGACACTCATTTCGGAAGCGCAGAGCTCAGAC